CGCGAGGACTTCTGGCTGTGGCAGGAGTGTCCAAGACCAGCCCTGCCTGTGATGTGTGCGGACAAGGCTCTGGCCACTTCCCGGGAGACGGCCACAACCACGGACACTTTCCAGGGGATGGACACAACCACGGACACTTCCCTGGCGATGGACACAACCACGGAGCATCAGGGTCCTTTTCAGGATCCGCGAGTGGCTCCTTCAGTGGTTCGGGATCGGATAGTGGTTCAGCGAGCGGATCTTGGAGCGGTTCTGCAAGTGGATCAGGATCTGGCTCTGGTTCGGGGTCCTTCAGTAGTTCTTGGAGTGGCTCTGCATCTGGATTATCTCGCCACAGAAGATCAGGTGGTTTAGGATCCTGGACTGGAGGCTCGACGTCGAATAAGCCTGGATCTGGCAACAATGGAGGTTCCTGGAACAACTGGTGGTTCTACTTCTAACAAACCAGGATCTGGCAACAATGGAGGTTCCTGGAACGGCGGTTCTACTTCCAATAAACCAGGATCTGGCAACAATGGAGGCTTCTGGAACAATGGCGGTTCTACTTCCAATAAACCAGGATCTGGCAACAACGGAGGCTTCTGGAACAACGGCGGTTCTACTTCCAACAAACCCGGTTCCTATCGCCCTGGGAGATCGGTTCCACAGAGAAGAACCAGAGAAGCCGAAAAACTGAAATCCAAATTATGTCCACTTTGCGCTCTGGGCAATCTTGCATCGGGAAGCGGTTCTGTCAGCGGTTCCTGGAGTGGTTCAGCATCGGGAAGCGCCTCAGGATCTGGGTCTGGTTCAGTTAGTGGTTCATGGAGTGGTTCTGGTTCTGGCAGTGGGTCAGGATCAGGATCTGGTTCTGCCAGTGTGGGTCATGGAGTGGTTCTGGTTCAGGAGGATCGGGCAGCAGTTCAGGTTCAATCAGTGGTTCCTGGGGAGGCAATGGTGGAGGATCCGGTAGTGGTTCGGGATCGGGTTCAATATCTGGAGGTGGCTCAGGCAGCGGTTCAGGATCTGGTTCCATTTCTGGAGGCGGTTCGGGATCCGGTTCAGGAAGTGGTTCATGGGGCGGTTCTGGTAGTGGTTCAGGATCTGGTTCCATCTCTGGAGGCGGTTCAGGATCTGGTTCCATCTCTGGAGGCGGTTCAGGATCTGGTTCAGGAAGTGGTTCATGGGGCGGTTCTGGCAGTGGTTCAGGATCTGGTTCCATCTCTGGAGGCGGTTCAGGATCTGGTTCCATCTCTGGAGGCGGTTCAGGATCTGGTTCCATCTCTGGAGGCGGTTCAGGATCTGGTTCAGGAAGTGGTTCATGGGGCGGTTCTGGCAGTGGTTCAGGATCTGGTTCCATCTCTGGAGGCGGTTCAGGATCTGGTTCCATCTCTGGAGGCGGTTCAGGATCTGGTTCAGGAAGTGGTTCATGGGGCGGTTCTGGCAGTGGTTCAGGATCTGGTTCCATCTCTGGAGGCGGGTCAGGATCTGGTTCAGGAAGTGGTTCATGGGGCGGTTCTGGCAGTGGTTCAGGATCTGGTTCTATCTCTGGAGGCGGTTCAGGATCTGGTTCCATCTCTGGAGGCGGTTCAGGATCTGGTTCCATCTCTGGAGGCGGTTCAGGATCTGGTTCAGGAAGTGGTTCATGGGGCGGTTCTGGCAGTGGTTCAGGATCTGGTTCCATCTCTGGAGGCGGTTCAGGATCTGGTTCATGGGGCGGTTCTGGTAGTGGTTCAGGATCTGGTTCCATCTCTGGAGGCGGTTCAGGATCTGGTTCCAACTCTGGAGGCGGTTCAGGAAGTGGTTCATGGGGCGGTTCTGGTAGTGGTTCCATCTCTGGAGGCGGTTCAGGATCTGGTTCCATCTCTGGAGGCGGATCAGGATCTGGTTCAGGAAGTGGTTCATGGGGCGGTTCTGGCAGTGGTTCAGGATCTGGTTCAATTTCTGGAGGCGGTTCGGGATCCGGGTCATGGGGCGGTTCTGGTAGCGGTTCAGGATCTGGTTCCATTTCTGGAGGTGGCTCAGGCTCCGGTTCAGGAAGTGGTTCTTGGGAGGCTCTGGTAGCGATCAGGTTCTGGCTCGATTTCTGGTGGAAGCGGTGGTTCCTGGGGTGGTTCAGGATCAGGTTCAGTATCCGGAGGAGGTTCAGGAAGCGGTTCATGGGGTGGTTCAGGCAGCGGCTCAGGATCGGGCTCAATCTCTGGTGGAGGCGGTGGTTCCTGGGGTGGGTCAGGCAGTGGTTCAGGATCGGGTTCAATCTCAGGAGGAGGATCTGGAAACTGCCCTGGTTCATGCGGCGGAGGGAGTGGTTCAGGCCATCAAGTGGGCGGGAGTGGCGGCGGAGTAGCAGGGGCCGGCAGCGGTTCATACACCAACAAGCCAGGCGTCGGCGGTTCAGGGCACAAGTGGGAGGCAGCGGCGGAGGTTTTCGGAGGCGCCAAGGGACCTCCTGGAGCACAGCCGGGGCTTTCGGGTCCAACGGCGCCGGAGGTATCGGGGTCAAGGTGGACGTCAGGAGCAG